AAGAGCAAGAAGGATGGAACCAGCAAGTGAGATCCTCAGATTCGCAATCGCCGTTGTCGTAAAGCAAGATCGCATCCTTCGACTCCTGGCCCGCGCCGACTCCAGTCAAATCCAAAATGGATTTCGCATGGGCCTGCCATCTGTGAAAAGCGGCGGGCAGAGCGCCATCGGCAACTAAGCGAAATCTGAATTTCCGTCGTATCTCAGCCTCCAACGCGGACTCGTACTTGTCACTCGACATCGACGACTGGCAGAGGTGGTCGACCCTGACAACAAAAGAAGAAAGCCCATCATAGAACTTGAGTGGTGGCTTCGTCCCAAGCACACACATATGACCGCTGCAGCTCATGGAGAACACCGTGGCAACGCCACCTGCCAACTCTAGATGCCCGTTCTCTTCGTGCTGTTCCCTCAACGTTTTGCATTCCCGCCCGCGTGCAGCCACGATGTTCGAATTCAGCATCAGGCAGTCTCTATCCATGGCCAACGTCTTCCAAACTGGAGTGTCAAAGCTGGCTGTTACAACGCCGTCGGCGTCAACGGAGCTGCCTGGTCGCCCGCTGCCGTTGCATATGCTCCAACGCCTCCACCGATCCAGAGCCGTCGAGTAATTTGCAACGGGCATCCCCTGAGCTGGAGAACAAACTCTCGCTGCTGATGTCGTGGGCCTCCCGTCCCAAGTCCAACACTTAGTGACCGTTTCGCGCACGTTCAAAACTGGACAGTGTCGCATAACTCCTTTCGGCGCTCTCATCTGAAGCTTGGATTTGGCATCGTCGTGGGGTGCTGCATCAACGAGGGGGGCGGCATCTATGTATTGGCGAGTCTATAACAATCTGCGCCGCACGGGCCTGACTCCATCCACGCGTGTAGACCGCGCGCCTGTGCAGTAGCGTGACTGACCAACAACTTTCGGACATCTCTCCTGTCAGTGCGGCGGCGACCTATGGTGACGGGAACGGCGTGGCCGCCAGCGGTCGGCACGAATTGCGTGCTCTTGTTGGACGCCTCATAAGAAACCGATGCGTTTGTAAGGCTCGTCACAAGGCTCTCGTCGTGCAATCTCACGCGGCGGCCGACCTCGTCGATGGCCGACTCCCTGGCGCTCTTGACCTTGGCGATCGTCATCTTGAGCCGAGTCTCGGCAGAGTGTGCGAATCCTCTCGGTCGGCCTCTGCCGCGCCCAGCTGGCGGCGGCGGGGCTGCGGCGCGGCCTCGGCCTGCGGCGCCAGCGCCGCCGCCGCGGCCGCCGCGGCCTCGCCCCCGACCGCGTCCTCCGCCGCCGCCGCCCGCTGGGGCTGGCGCGCCTGGCGGGGCCGTTGCTGGCAGCGGCGCTCCTGGCGCATCGGCTGGGCCGCCGGCCTAACATGCAGCGCCGTTGCCAAAATGGCGGGCCCAAATGGCTACGGACGAACGCGTGGGTTTAAGTTTCACGGCCCCGTCTAGCCCTTTTGCAGGAGTTGCGCCATAGGTTGCGCCAGGTTTTTTCCCCTCTCCTTTCGCCCTTTGTGTTTGCACGGTTTCACTCGGGGGCAAGGCCACTGGGCGACGAAGGCGCAATGACATAACATCGGGGGGAGAAGACGAGGGCACCGATCAGGAAGAAAGCTGCATGGGGGAAGGGAGGTACGTAACCGACAAAGCAGTGGGAGGACACGGGGGGGCGCCCTGGGCCGTCAATGCGCCACAAGGAGACAGAGAGGAACATCAGGAACGGCGAGGAAAGGAAGATGGTTCAAGAGCAAGAGGAATGACATGCAAATCCAGAGCGTCGCTGCTCGCTGCTGCTGCTGCGTTTAATGTCACATGTCACGGCCCCTGACATGAATCAATCGTCCGTCGGGCGCATTTATGCATTTTGTGAAAGGTCTGAAACCAAATGTCTTACCCGATGGGGCGTCACATTTTTTGAAAATATTGACGCTTATCTCGGCCATGACGTTTCTCACCGCACTGCACGGCACGACACCACACGGCCCCGCGCCTCCTTCATCTCTCTTCGTCCTCCCTCCTGTCACACCCACGGTTCCGCGGTCGCGCGCAGCGCGGGGCCGCGGGGCAGCCTCGAACTTGTCGATGGCCGCGGGGCGGGCGGCGGGCGCCGCCGTCCCTCCTCCTCCTCCCCCTCCTCCCCCTCCTTTTCCTCCCTCCTCCCCCCCTCACTCCTCACGTCGCCACGGCTGCTCCGAAAAGCCGTCAATCGGGGCCCAATGCACGACACCTCGCACAACACCGCCGCGGGAGCAGTAGAAATGAGTTGAGTTGTGTTTCAGCTGATGGTCTTTGGGGCATTGACGGACATGACGACATGACTGCAGCTACGGAAAGGACGCATTGCTTTACTTTAATTAAAAACAGCTAGGCAAAGGAGGGCGGCATCGCCACAATGACGACGTAACGGCACGATGTATGTAACCCGCTTGCTCACGCTCTGCAGCGCCGCTGTGATTTCGGTAGAGCCCCTACCAGAGCCGCCGCTCACGACAACCACATGCGAACCTCATTTGGGCAACGGTTTTTGCAACGCCGCACCCAGCATTTCCCTTATTCAATTACAGTGAAGCAATGCCCTTTACAATATCAACGTGTTCATTTGCAGGCAAGCCAAGTGATTCCGACGCGGCCGCAGAAGACGACTTGCTTCAGCAAGGCACCTTTTCACACAATCGATACAAGCTTGACCCGAAGGCTCGACATATTTGTTTTTAGGAAAAAACCCTCAATTGCGGGAAGGCGCCCTTGGCGTACAGGGAGAAGACGCAAGGTGGCAGTTCACCGACGGTAGCAGAAGCGTATCTGCCTGGACCAGTAACATCGACTTGATTGACCGCTCAAAGCCAGCATTGCGTTTGGCACTTTATGCAGGCAGCCGTACGCTTCGACTATCACACCGAACTTGTCACGTCACGCGTGTTTGATCTGGTCTGGCGACAGGATAACTATGATTGTGGCGTCGAGGAAATATTCCGAATGATATACCTGCCACACTTGTGCGAGACGCCACGAACAACCTGAACGACAATGACAAGTTTAACATGCAGTCCTGAAACCTTTCCATGCTGCTGTACCCGAAGAAGCCAGACCAGCTTACAGCATCTCTTGGACAACGTCGTCTTGGCAAGGTCGCACGCTCAAATGGAACTACATTGGGACACATTCCACGTTATCTAAATGAACAACGACGTGACGTTGAGGGCACCGGCCGGGCAGAGCACTGCAGAGAAGCAAGATCTGCCATGTTTCGGTGCTTCTTTATTACTAAAGGGTGGGCAGATGGGTACCGAACGAATCATCAGAATAATCGGGCCAGCATGGGCCCAATCCTCCAAATATAGTAGAGCATGGAAACTCACTGCTTTGAGCAAACGTCGAACGGTGAATATATTCCAAGCGTTGGTGACATCCGAAACCTCAAATGAATTAAACACGGCGTTGTCAAACAAAGCTGAAAGGGAAGGTTGGAAGGATTTCAAGCCATATGCCTAATGAATTGACCTATACCTCCCACCTTCGTGACGCGAGTGCCTCATAGCATGAAGTTGGAGCAAGCTTGGCAAATGCAATACACCGTGTTACTTCTTCAACAGCAGATAAGAATATTTGGGAAAATTGGTCGGGCTCTGGATGCAACATTTCTTCGACGACTCACTGCTCAGCCCGGCACCGTTCGTTCAGCCGTGGATGCTCAACAAAAGAGGAGAGGCAGACCCAAACACGAATGGGCAAAATGTCCACACAAGTTGGCCTGGAACACGCTTGGTCGCAACGCCTGCAGGACCCCGTCGAGTGGCTAACGATTGCGGGACACATTGCAAGCAAGGATGATGAAGGTGACCACTTGTAGCCAATTTTACATACATTGCTTGTGATGCCCGGTGCCCTGGCATTACATTTGTTTCTGTTTTCGTTCACGCGCTTCGGCGTATGGCGTAGTGTAGCGTAGAGTAGCGTTGGGGTCCTAAAAACCACCCTCACCCCCAGCCAGGACTCCGTGGATGACCAGGTCGGGAGTGGGGTTCCTGGCCTGGGATGGGCCCCGTGTTCACAGTGCTGCTCCGCCACCTACTCGGGCGCCTCCTCAGTCTCGTCCGCCTTGCCCCCTTCCCCTGGAACGCATCAACGTGGGCACATTCCTCCATGAAACGGAAGTCCAGAAGCCGAATGGAAGCTTGGCGCTCGCTGGGAAAACCAAAAAGTGTCGATCCCGATACTCCCCGGATCTCTCCCAAGCGTGTCTGCTGACAGGAATTTCGAAGGGGAATCCAGCGATTGCGACGAGGGCCTCCCAGGAGGCCCGAGAAAACGAAAACAAAGAAATGGTATCGGTATCTGCACCTTTTCCTCATCTGACTCGCCAATGTCTCGTCCGCTGAGGGACCCCAAACCGTGTGGTGACGGACCGCGTGGTGACATTGGAAAATCCCTAACGACCTCACCGCGCAGTCCGTCACCTCAAGGTCTAGGGACCACGGAGGTCCCAGTCGCCCGATATGCCCTCGGAGAACGGCCCGAATACCATTCGGTGGGGGGGTTCGTTAAGGAATGTGCCCAGCAGGCTGCAGACCCTGGAGGATCCCTTAACTGATGAGCGCGGCGGTGATATCCATGGCCGATCCACGATTGGACTTACACGGGCCTCCTTACCCTGGATTCCTGATCTAAGGGTTCCTTGTCAAATGCCCCGTATTGGTCCTCCTCCGCATGCTTGGTTTACGGGCCATAACTCGGGTTTCCAGCGGCTGCTCGGGACGATCTGCGCACCCCCGGAAAGCTTCTGGCAAGGCGCAGATGCTGGAATGCATCCCGAGGCAAGCACATCCTCCCAAAGACCAGCGACAACGCACGAAAGTCGGCGAAAACGTACGAACACGTTCCAACACCGCGCGGTGGCCCCGCATCCCCAAGGACGCACCGCACGGAGCGGCCACCACACCGATGGAAAGCCCCCGCTCCTCCCGCCGCCGCCGCTCCTCCCCAGAGAAGCCCGCCGACCAGCCAACCTGCGCCGGACGCCGGCCGGACTGCGCCGGGCTCCGCGGCGCGCGCATGGCGCCAGGGCTCGAGCGGAGCGGTGTGCTCCGTTCTCGTGCTGTTTTCGCTTTCCCGCGTCCTCGTGTTAGGTCGGGCCTGTCACCCCTGCAGGAGGATTTTGAAGGAAAAGCTGAAAACAGTCAGAAATTATTTCAAATTGACACACACAAAAAAAGGCCCATGAAAAATCGTCCCCAGGGATTTTTGTTTGACTATTTCTGAACGTTCCGACCCGTTCCCCCTGTAGAATGACAGGCATTAACTTAACCAAATCCAAGCGATCCAAGCGCGCCGGCCAGTGCTGGGCGGACCCCCGCGGGCCCGCACCAAATGTCACCCTGGCTGGGGGCCACTCTTACGCGCCGCCGGCGCCTTTGCTGCAGCACGAGATCAGAAAGAAGACGGCCCACGAAATCGCCAAAGCACTGTTCGGGGGTCGCCAAAGGTGCCTCTGGCCCGAGGGGCCTAAGCTTTTCGCTCCAGTTTGGAGCCCCTGGGGCCCTCTGGGCCTCGTGAGGGGTGCTCCTGGAGGCCGCGGGGGCCTCCTTGGAGATCCTGGGGGCAAATTGGGCCGCGGGAGCCTCCCTGGACCAGTCGACCTCCTGGGAGATCCTGGGGTCCCCCTTGGAGATCCTGGGGGCCTCCTTGTAGATCCTTTGGAGATCCTGGGAGCCTCCTTGGAGCTCCTGGGGACCTCCCTGCACCAAAGGACCTCTCGGGAGATCCCGGGGACCCCTCTGGGAGATCCTCGGGGGCCTCATTGAGGAGATGCTTTTGGAGATCCCCGGGGCCCCCGAACCCCTTCAGCTCGAGCCCTGCATCGCGCGGCGCCCGCCCCGCGGCGAGAGGGAGGGAGGGAGGGAGGGAGGGAGGGAGGGAGGGAGGGAGGAGGGAGGATGGAGGAGGGGGGGAGGGAGGGGGGAGGATGGAGGGAGGAGGCCCCCCAGGGGCGGGGCCCCGCGGCGCGGCGGGCCGCGGGGCGGCCCCCCCCGCGCCGGCTGTGGGAGGGCAGCGGGCGCGGCCGCGAGGCTTCTGCAGCGCACCGCCGACGCCCTGGCCTCCATGGGCGGGCAGGACCTTTCCAGGGACTGGAACGGAGGAGGAGGCGGAGGAGGAGGAGGAGGAGGAGGGCGTGGGAGAGTCTGGGGACTCCCCCCGGAGGACAAATCCGGGGACAACAACACCAGCTTTTTGTGGGGATGTTTGTTGCGGGTCAGGGGGGGCGGGGGGGGGCTTAGGTTTTCTTTTGGGGGCGCACGGCCCCCGCACAACTAAAAATAACACAATAATGATCCCCATGAAAAACATATATACACATAGAGAGAGAGAGAGAACAAGCAACTATACACAGTTGTATGTATATATATAATGTATACGTACGTGTGTATATACATATACATAGAGATACGTCTTCATGTGCAACTGTATAGATCGATGAATCCATATACATGTACAAACACCTTTATACAATTGTGCATCGGTGCACGGACCTATCCTAATCATAACCCCTTTTCGAAATTATTGTGGCAGGATTCCCCCACCGCCCTTCCAACAAAAATATTTGCAACATTTGTTTGGGTGGTCTAACGGGTTACCCCTCCGAGACCCCCAACTCTCACCACAGCTGGTTTTTGACATGTTTTAAACAAGACCCCCCCATCCGACCCATCCGAAAACCTTCCTCAAGGATGCTTTTTTGGGGGTAGACCGAGCCCACCAAGCACCCCCTTAGGGGAGGTTTGAAGAACTTCCCCCCGAACCCTCCGAGAAACACATCTCCGGATTTTTGCTCGAAGGGGGGCCCTCCCCGAACCCCCCCACGAGGAATCGCCGTCGCCGTCGCCGTGGCCGTCGCAATCGTCGTCGCCGTCGTCATCGTCGTCGCCGTCGTCGTCGCCGTCGTTCTTCGCCGTCGCCGTCGCCGTCGCCATCGTCGTCGTCGTCATCGTCGCCGTCGTCGTCGTCGTCGTCGTCGTCGTCGTCGCCAATCGCCGTCACCGTCGCGGTCGTCGTCGCCGCCGTCGACGTCGTCGCCGTCGCCGTCGCTGCCGCCATCACCGCCGCCGCCGCCTTCGCCGTCGCCGTCGCCGTCGCCGTCGACGCCGCCGCCGCCGTCATCGGCGTCGTCGTCGCTGCTCGCTGTCGCCGGCGCTCGCCGTCGTCGGTTGCAGAGGGTGGCCGCCCCCCCGTTCGACCCCCCTCCTGCAACTCAGGGGAAGGGGGGGGAGGGTCCAGTGCGCGTCGCCGTGGCCGTCGCTGTCGCCGTCGCCGTCGCCATCGTCATCGTCGTCGTCGTCGTCGCCGTCGCCGTCGCCGTCACGGTTGCCATCGCCGCCGCCGCCGCCGTCGTCGTCGCCGTCGTCGTCGTCGTCGTCATCGTCGTCATCGTCGTCGTCTTTGCCGTCGTCGTCGTCGTCGTGTTCATCGTCGTCGTCGTCGCTGCCCGTAGGCGCCGTCGCAGTCGCCGTCGCCGTCGCCGCCGTCGCCGTCGCCGTCGCCGTTGCCGTCGCGTTGCCGTCGCCGTCGTCGTCGTCGTCGACGTCCTCGTTGTCGTCGTCTTCGTCGTCGTCGCCGTCGCGGTCGTCGTCGCCGCCGTCGACGTCGTGGTCGTCGCCGTCGCCGTCGTCGTCGTCGCCGTCGCCGTCGTCGCCGCCGTCCCGACGTTGTCGCTGCCCAAAGGCGCCCGCCCCGGCGCTCGCCGTCGTCGTCTGCAAGGGGAGGGTCACACCCCCGGTTCACCCCCCCCCCCCTTGCAACTCAAGGGGCCCCCCCCCCTGGGGTTCGAAGCCCCTCTTCCCCTTTGAACAGAGAAGGGGGGCCCACCCCTGGTTCGACCCCCCGCCCTCCTAACAAAGGCGCCCCCCCCCGTTCGATCCCCCTTTTCCGTGCAACTCAGGGAGGGGGCCCCGCTCCCTGGTTCGAACTCCCCCCCCCCTCTTCCCGTCCCCTGTTTCGACCCCCCCCCTCCCCGTGCTTGCATCTCAGGGCCCCCTCCCTGGTGCGAACACCCCCCGCCCTGTATTGCGTCCACAGAACGCGCCCTTACAGAGATATCGAATCATGTTAAAACAATGCGCAAGCCAGCCTAAACAGGATTGGGCCGACTCGTGCTGGCTATCTCGACCAAGCAATAACTGGGGCCAATGCCGAATTCGGCTTCCTGCAAGACGTAGCCTGAGGCACCCATGCGCCGCCACCACCGTGCCTGGCAACGGCCTTACTGGGCCCCAGCGTTGCGTAAGTATATGCCCTCTAGGAAGAATGGGCCACATTCCTGGGATCTAACCCATCGAATGCACCATCCGCTTTTTGGTTTGATTCAACACTCGATTCCCGCCTCCTCCTAATGCTCGAGCTTCTTTGATCCTCTCATTCGCCATCATCCCGTTCTCCTCACTGTTTGCAGTCATCATGATCCTCCTCCTCATCCTCCTGGAGAGCTTCGTTATACAGTCGCGCTGCACCCTGACGACATTCACTGATGGTGCTGCGTCATTGCCGCACCCCCATCTTCTGCACGGAACTGTACAAAATGGGCATGTCACAACGTAAACAGCAAGAATACCCGTGCCAACCATATGTCTTCTTGCGAGGCCAACATCCCCCTGATCGTATGCCCAAGCATGCGCTGTGCGGCGAGGCGATCCTGGCAGGCACCCGCGCAGTAGAGTGTACCTCTCGCACGGCTGGGAATCTCCCTCAAACAGACGCGGAACACATGCCGCCGACACTTCGCTGAGTTCTACCGCTGACGCCCCCCATCATAGATTGGGCGTTGGGGAGTTGTCGTGGGGTGGTGGCGACGGTCGCTCAGACTCAGGCGATCGCGCGCAGTGCGCTGTGAAGCACTCTCAACTCAACAGTGGGAGGATGTTTGTTCCCAACCATCCTGTGGTGTTGGGTCCAAATTTTGAAGGCACAGCGCCCCGCGTTCCCTCACCTTTCTCCCCCCCCTCCACCTTCCCCGCATCACCGTCAGCATAATAATACGACTGGTAATGATAATGGTGATGATCATCATCATTATCAGCATCACCAACATCATCATCAGCATCATCATCATCATCATCATCATCACCATCATCATCATCATCATCATCATCATCATCATCATCATCATCATCATCATCATCATCATCATCATCATCATCATCATCATCATCATCATCATCATCATCATCATCATCATCATCATCATCATCATCATCATCATCATCATCATCATCATCATCATCAATTATCATCATCATCATCATCTCCATCCTCTTCATCCTCATCAACGTCAGCATCAGCAACAGCCTCGTCAGTATCATCAGCATAATCACCATCAGCTCATCATAATCATCGTCACCACCATCAGCAGCATCACCATCATAATCATGATCATCGTCATCATCATCATCATCATCATCATCATCATCATCATCAACAACCTCATCACCATCGTGATCAGCATCAGCAGAAGCAACATCATCATCAACATCAGCATCATCATCATCACCATCATCATCATCATCAGCATCATCATCGCCACCACCATCACCACCGTCATCAACATCAGCAGCATCAACATCATCATTCTCATCGTCGTCGTCGGCGTGATCGTCATCGTCGTCATCATGATCGCTGACATCATCTCACCCCTCACACGCTTCTTTGCCCCACAGAGAGCTCCACCCCCTGCCCCAACGCTGCCTTTTACATGAGTCCCCCACACTCATTTCGGCACACCCCTCACACGTTTCGTGGCCCCACAAGGAGCTCCACCCAAAGCCCCAATGGTGCCGTTCGAATGCGCCCACCACACTCATCTCGGCACACTCCTCACATGCTTCCTGGGCCAATGGGGAGCTACACCGAAGGCCCCACTGGTGCCGTTCGCATGCGTCCCTACACATATTTCGGCACACCTCTCACACGTTTCGTGGCCCTATCGGGAGCTCCACCCAAAGCCCCGATGGTGCCGTTCGCATGTGCCCCCCACACCCATTTCAACACACCCCTCACACGCTCCGCG